ATCGGATCGTTCTGGTTGCTGCCGCATCTGAGGCAACCATTTCTCTTTCATGCAATGCACATCTTCGTGGGCAGGCGATCCTCATGCCGGCCATTCAGGCCAAGGAGTCAAGTCAGCTCACCGGCTAATCCATGATTAATATGCACATACTCGAGACTTGTAGATTTTGTGATTTACGTCATGTGCAAGTCTCGAAGCATGTGTGTGCATGTGTGTGCATGTATCTTTTTGTTTGTATTGAGCATAGCCTCTGTCATTGGTCATCTGGGCTTAATTATTCCTCTTTTTGACAGTTGCTCCGATTCTATGGCCCCTCCGATTGTTCGTTTATCTACAGACATGCCATCATCAACAGAAATATCAATTCGCGATCATTCTATGACAGATTCACTTTGTGTCATGTGTTGCGCTGCCAGTGATCTTTGAACCCAACAGCCTCTACAAGAAGGTTTGTGTGTTCATCCACTCTCTATCGAATAGGACGACAGATCTCGCAATTATACCAAAGACCCCATAAACATTGCATCAATTAACAGTCGGATCTGGACAATGATTGTCGTATTTTTTGTTGAGCTGACTTATATTTCGAGTGAAAGTGTTGGATGAAGAGATTCTAAGGTCGATTTCACCAGAAGACAACGGCCGATTCCTCTTGACCAGCTGGAAGATTCATGCTGACGCTGTTGCCGAGACAATCTGCTTCAAATCCGGTGAAAAGGTGCTAAGCTTTCGTCCGTCGAGAAAACTTAACTCGTTAGCTTGAACATTTTCGGTACCTCGCTCTGTTGATGTCCGTCATATGACGCACGAAAGCTTAGCACCTTTTCACCGGAATCGAAGCAGATTGTCTCGGCAACAGCGTCAGCATGAATCTTCCAGCTGGTCAAGAGGAATCAGTCGTTGTCTTCTGGTGGAATCGACCTTAGAATCTCTTCACGCAACACTTTCACTCGAAATGGAAGTCAGCTCAACAATTGTGAAACAAGAGATTCCTCGAAACCCAACTTTTCTTCGTATATGTCGTATTTTTTTTCCAAAAGTGGCTATATTTGTATAAATTGCTATAGTTATCTGGAAAACCGTTTTTATTCCCCACTTCCTTTTATACGGGACACACAAAGTCAACGTCAATACGGCAGAATAGTGCCCTGATCCTTCCTATCTTCTCAAATATGTTTAAAATAAAACGACTTTTCTTATCAATCGGTTGTTAAATTCCGTCAAGCCTAGACGATGGCGATTTCTCAAATGATTTTTATTTGATCCAATCTAACTCATAATCTCAGTGCTCTATATCGGCTACTCTTAGACTATGAATAAACATTGGTTTTAAGGTACCAAATTTCGTTGTGTAACTATGGTTGGAGAAAAAGTTAAGGTTAAAGCCCAATTTTCCTGCAGCTCTGCTAAGGAAACTGCACAAAACTGCTACTTTACTATCCTTTTCTATTTTTTCAATGTTATATCAACATCAACATCCCACAAGCAGATTTGGTGCAAAACTTGCAGATTCTACGCAAAATTGCTTCAGTCCTGACTTCTAATTACTGACCGGCATGGAAGCCAAGCCCTTTTTTGTGAATTTAAAATGGGGAAAATGTGTTTATATTTTGAACAAGCTGCATCGGGCGAATTGTTAATTTTCCCAAACCTGTCAGAGCTTGGCCATTTTGTAGGCATCCCATTGACTTGCACTCCAAGTGAAACTGACGAGTTCTCACTTTACCGTTCACATCTGCAGGCTAATCAGAATAAGGCATCATTTATCCTCGGAATTCCGGCTTTTTAAGGAACCACTCTGCGATTGACTGCAGGATTGCCAGGGTCCATGCATATTGTATGGCATAAAAAATGTGTTTTTTTCAGTGCGCTTTTTTGTCTGCATGAAATTGCGAAAATTTGCGTTTCCTGGACTCCTGTCAGGCAAATTGCGTGACGCTACTCCTTTCATTTTTTGTACAAATTCAGCCAAAATATCAGCAGAGCGGTCCCAGTCCGGGTTTTTTCTACGACAATGATTGCAGACTGGCAAACGAGAGGCCAATCCGTAGGCTTCTTCTCGACTTTCGTCAAGACCAATATTTTAAGCGCCCATTTTTCCGCTGCTGGTTATTCTGTTCAATCACATTCTTTTGACAGGTTTTTACCCTTGCGACATGACTTTTTAATTTGAAGACAAGGTTTATTGCAAGGAATTCATAAAGTGGCCGCCCAGAGAAAGCAGACATTGTGCCATGGGGTCATTGGCTCATTTTTCTGCGATTCACCGACAAAGATGTGCTAAGATTTGTCTGTGAAGACGCTCATTTCTAATGGAAGTGCATGATGAAAAGGTTCGTAAGTCACTCTGACCGCTTTCTACTGCAGCCATTTGGCATTCATACCACCTTCAGGTTGACGCACTCCACAAGACATCCTCCAACCTTTCGGACAACGAGGGACTGAGCTTTCTTTCTTCGTGTCACATGGCGAGCATTGTCAGAGCTGAAACTAATTCCTGCAAAAGTCCCAAGTCAACATTAAGTCAAAAAGACTGACCAGCTTTTTCCTACATGATATATATACACGTTGCGAAAAAAATGTATGATATAGTTGGATATAGAAAGGTTCGGTTAATTCATTTATATGTGTATGTGTGTATATGTATGTTAACTTTGCTACGCAATATCGGTCATACTTTTGTCCTTGTGTCATGAAGCCTTAATAACCCAGTTTTTTTCTAATTACTCTGATTCATGGCCAGTTTCAAGTACAGACGTTAACACATAGACACACACATACACACTTTAGTATAATGAATTAGAAAAGCATTTTTTTATACATACATACATACATACATACATACATACATACATACATACATACA